GGTCAAAATGACGCCCTCACGTATGCCATGTTCGGACGGAAGTGCAAAGAAGGCTAATGATCGCTTTATGCGTTTGCAGGACGAGAGAACATGACGGAAGGGGCTAAAGAAGTCCGGATTGGAAGTGTTATGCAAGGAAGAAAGAATTTAGTACAAGACTATTGACGCTACGTCAGAGGAATTGGTGCAACCGTATATTACTAGGATGTTCGGGGAGGAGCGGGAGAAGCATCCGGCCAGTGATACGGGGCGACGTCGTGGGAAGACAGCGATGGAGGAAGGGGTGGTGATGTCGGTGGAAGAAATGCCCTCTGATTCTGCCTGATGGGACTTCCGAAACGCCAGGATTTGGAACTGGGCTAGGGTCTGTCAGGATTCTCATTCTACTTCTACTTCCTCCTTGCGAAATGTTGCCTGGCATTCTTTCGTCCAATTGGTGGTGCTGATTATGGTGTTTCGTGGTCTGATTCCTTGGGCTAATAGTTGTCGTTCTTATTTTCTGTCTATGACCAAGGATGGTAGAGATTTGTGCCTTTGCAGGGGTCCATTGGTTCCCCCTGGCACAAACATGTGTACGTGGGGTCAACAAGTCAGACGCTAGATGTGCGATGGGGCGAGCATATTTATCGAGCTTGTAATAGTGGGGTGGTTGAGCAAGGGGAGAGGAACCACCACCTGTATAATTGGTTGCGGCGTTGTGCGCCGGAGCACTATGTGGCGCCTCCCTTATTCTGCTATGAATTGCCGGACATGTTGGACTTGGAGAGGATGGTGATTCGTAGGAACAATCCTTTCCTTAATGACGAGGATAGACCTGTTAGCCGCAGGAAGGGTAGGCCGGGGAAGAGAGAACAAGAGAAGCTTCTACGAAAGAAACCGGAGGCGGCCAAGGTCAACGGAGTGGCTAGTATGACCAAGCACGTGCATCTTGTTTTTTCGAATGAGGATGGTAAGCGGTCGACTAACCTTCTAAGACCTGTGTCGCAGGCACGAGAGAAAGGTAAGTTGGAAATGACGATACGATGTGATGGGGGAAATGTCTTGATGAATTCATGGAAAGGCGTTAAGCGATGTTTTGGTGGTTCCATTGTTCAACCTGACTTCGGGGTAGCGCCGTTGAAAAAGAGTCGAGGGTGGCTTGTGGACGGGGCTAGGATCCACTTTCATTCAATCACATATTACTGCTCGACTTTTCTCTACTACAAACCAATCTTACTAGACTTTTTATGCCAACCATCGTCGCGTGCTCTTCTGTACGGCTGAAGTCTGGAACAACTGGTGTGTATGTACAAGGCGGTTAGATGCTTCAAGGCAAAGCAAGCAAGGCATACGTTACCAGGGTGGTGTGTCGGAGATTTGGTATTAACGTGCGTGCACGACTGATGATTCGCATTACGTTTGATATTTGTGTGGGTAAGAATGCGGTAAGACTGATGTGTGAGCGATTGGTAAGGACAATGGAGTTGTCGGTATGTGTGAAGGAAATGGTGTTGAGAAGGATGAAGGTGGTGTGGGTGAAAAACCAAAGTGTTGGTGATGTGCTGTTTAATTTCCGCCCCACTAGTAGACAGATTGAGCATGATTGCTGCTGCCAGAAGATCGAGGAGGGCTTTCCGCAGGTGGATGGACATGTTTGCTTTCGTATGTCTGAAGTACCTTCCATCCCAACCTTCTTGAAAAATGCACGAAACATTTCGTACCCCTCTCGTTTGACCTCGCGTAAAACTTTGGTTAAGCAGGTCCTCGCTTCCTTTGAGACTATGCCACTACTGACAAAGATGGATGAGGGGATGATCGAGAGAAAGATTGTGGAGGCTTGCTTTACTAGGTCGGTGAATGAACAGGGTGTCTATGGTATGGAACTAAGTGAGGTTTTTGGCATGGAAGCGGAAGTTTGGCGATTTAGTGGGGTGCCAGATAGACCACAACATGGGAGATTCTCTGTTCTACTGCCCAACGGTGCATAGGGCAAGCATGTACAAACTCTTCCTGGCGAATCCGAGTTTCGAGAGGTAGGGGGAGGAAGAGCGTGTGATGAAGCAGTGTGGGTTTGAGTATAAGAAGGGTAGTTTTTATTGTTTGGGGAAGGGAAATAGAAAAGGAAAGTTGGGGCAGGCTTATTCTATTCCCAAACACAAAGATATTACAAGATGGCGACCAATTTGTCCTATGTTCTCGAAAGGGGGAGTGGCTGCAAGCAAGAAGATAGCGCGGGGTGTCAATCAACTACTTTGGGATTTGCCAAGGGAAACTAATTTCAACCTGAAGAGTATGACTGACTTTGCTCCAGCTTTGCGTTGGATAAATGGTCTCTTGAGTAGGGTGGAATTTTTTGTGAGCGCAGCCTTCGATATAAAAGAAATGTTTTGTAATTTGCCACCTGAGGCAATTATGGGGGCTGTGAGATGGATTGTTGACTTCTGGGCAATCCGGGGCGGCAAGGGAGTTTCGGTCAAAGTCAGAGGAAAAGGGGCGAAGTTGAGGTTTGGGAAGTTAGAATTAGGTTGGGACACGGTACCGTTTCAAAGTGTGTGGCCGGGTGTTGCAGCAGAAGGTAGGGATTCCGATGGGTAAAGCATCAAGCCCGGCCCTGGCGTGCCTTCTCTACGCTTACAACGAATTCACTTTCCTGGCATCACTGGGTTGTGATCAAAGCCTAGTAAGTGGTTTGCGCATGGTGGATGATGTTTCGGTACTGATTCAGTGCAAGAAGGGGGACTTGGCTTCCATGATGATGGCTGAAAGAATTTTGGATAAATTTCGTGTCTGCTACGATGATAATCTCGTCTTCGAGCAAACAAGTGATGAGAACTGCTGGGATTTTATCGGTTGTGTGATGAAAACTTTGGATTGGCTTTGGCCCTTGGGGGGTGCTGTGTGCAGCCATGCATAAGAACCATAAAACCTATCGGGAGAAAAAATTAAAATTTCAGAATCTTTAGGACTAGGGATCTTATTGTAGCAAGCAGCAGAAAATGACGGTCATTGTTTCATGTGCAATCAGACTCGTTCTCATTCACACTTTTCATGCATGTAAACAGCAGCGCAGCAAACTGGCGACATGTGCCCACTCAAAACTCAGAGATATGGCATCCAGATAAGAGTTCACTTTCAACTGGCTATGGCGACTCAGCGCCCAAACAACTCACTGTTCACA